ATGTTGTTTGTGAAATTTAATTATTCATTACATTAATAAAAAATCTTTAGACGTTTCGGCCACAATCTGACCATCTTCAGTAAAATCACAAATATTAGTAACGACGGCTGAATTCAATGTCAGATATATGTAAATTCTGCGTTTTACTAATTTTTGTGATTTTCCTGAAGATGGTCAGATTGTGGCCGAAACGTCTAAAGATTTTTTATTAATGTAATGAATAATTAAATTTCACAAACAACATCCAGTGCTATGGTTTCATGCTCCTTTTTTTATATGTTTTGATTTATAAATCACATTCATTAGAATTATTTATTAAAATTTCTTTGTACACAATGCAAAAGATCGAAAGATATGATGTACATTGTGTGACTGTACATACAACTTAAAAAGAAAACGTTCTGACATTGATTTTTTTTTAACCGTACTGAAAGCCTTAAAATTCTATACTGCATAATATAACGTCCTAATTGCATATTTTTATATAATCGTCACAATCGCTATTTTTCTTTCGATCGAAAGTCATAAAAATACAAATATTCTTAAAAATTACATGTAATCTTTATATATAATCGCTGGCAATTAATTATAAAAGAGAAAGAATTCATGTTGTATCAACATTTTTAATTGTGATCTAGACATGTGACGTGATTAGAGTATATTAAAAGGCAAGTATAATATATTATAATTACAATCATTACATCTTACTTTCACACAACTTGAAAAGTTCACATCTATAACGAGTTAAAAATTAATAGCCACAGTGCTTATATGCAACGTAGAAGGATTCGTGGAAAATTTACTTAAAACTAAAGTAATCCATTTTGTCATTCTATTTTTTTTTTCATTGTATTTTTTTAGCAATTTTTTTCCTTTTAGCAATCATTCTCAAAATCTATTGATAGTATCGGTATAATTCATCGGTTTAATCAGCGATGAAATACATTTAGTTTTCAGCAAATATGTATCCACGATGAATACACAATTCAATAATAGCATGTTCGTATATATTTATAATTATCTATGGCAAGAATCCGCTCATTTTAAGACATGTATTGCATTACATTCATATATTTACGAAGTTCAACTATCATTGAAAAAATCAATTACGTAGAACAGCAATTAAATATAAAAGAAGAATTAGAAATTATCGAACTGATAATCCGTGAAGTAAATAATTTTACAAATTACTTTTACAAGTTACGTTTCCCTGCAATGTGATAAGCAAATATAATATAAATCGCTTTCTTGAATCGTAAAGCAAAAAGGTGTAAAATTAAAGTTAAAAAAATTCAATACAGAATAAATAAACATCTGATTTAAATTTAAACTGTTTCGCAATTACAGCGTTCGGAAGCAATCACAATTTCCGTATATCTATGCGAACATCATCAAGATAACGAATTCTGAAATAAATCTAGAGTTTATATCATTCTATACATGACTTCCTAACGCTTCAATGATTATATTTGCGCTACATTTCAAAGTCTGCGACAGCGACAATAATAGGATAATAATACTGGCAAATTGTATGGCGGCTTTGAAGCAGACTTTTTATCCCTAGAGAGTGAATATTTTCTAGCGAATATTTTCGTGTTCTCATCTAAGTACGTATACTACAATATATTATTTAAAATCTACAATATTTTGTAATTATGTTTAGCAATATCAATGCTTTCATTTGACAGATACGTGATGCTATAGATGCACCTATATTAAATAATTTTTACAATTTATATCCTTCCCCGATTTTGATTATTCGATAAACGATAATTACACATACATTTTCGCGCGTTCGCGGCAATCAATTCTTACATCACTAGAATAATATTGACTCTTACTAACTTGTCAAACAATTATTTCTGGACACTTGAATAAACGTGCGGATAAAAATTCTTGCTTTATCGTCTAATATATATAGTACATTTTCCTATAGTGCAGTTGAAAAAGGATTCAGTTTACTACATGACAATGTTGCTATTTGATTAAATACATTTCAGGTATATTTTCATAAATCACCTCTCGTTCGCACTTGTCACTCTACTTTTAATGTAGATGTAAGAAAAAAAAACAACGTTTTTCACATGATTTGTATAACATAAATAAAGTAATCGCAACATTAAAAGTATACAATGAAATATTAAAAGTTCTTCGCACACTTACAAAGTAATAATGCAATTAAATAATTCTATTTAGCGCTATTTATATACAGTGTTCCATCAGAAACAGAGGCAATTAAATACATATTATAAAATATATAATATATAGATTTGAAAAAATTCAGAAAATAAGTAAAACATGATTGGACAGGACTACTCTTAACATTTAATACACGTTACACAAGTAAATACAAGTTACACAAAATCATTATGTACAACTTGTATAGCAATTATGAGAAGAAAAAATAAATCTTTGATCAAGATATTCAGATGTTCTGTTTCTGAAGAATCATTCTATATGAAAAAAGTACTCTTATATCTATATAAAATAAATAAACTTGAAAAATGTAACAGAACTATTATCAGAGTAAAATAAGAGGAATGAATATTAAGTCAAATGCCGAGTTTACAATAGCCAGCTTATTTAAATAATAAAATATTTATGTATTTTTTTACATAACAATTCACAAATAATTATCTAAATCAAATATATGTATCTCTTTTATAATCGTATCTTAACTATGTAAAATTAATAACGAGTAATCGATAAGTTCTTTGCAAAACCTTATCCAAGATGCTAGAAATCGGTCCAAGATCTCGGATGGAGAAAGAATTGATCAATCGCATTATCGTTATGATACCGAATTGTTCAAATGTGATTTGTTAATTCTTTCTCGTGCCGATTTTTAGTATTGTGGAGTTGACAAGGCTTAAAAGAATATTTGACTGTGGAAGCCGTGAACCGCCTTAACCGCCTTAAATAATTAATTGTAATCAATTTATCATACACAAAATAAGTTCTTCCTCATAAGTCTTTAGTAAGTATATCTATGATGCTAATAGGGATCTCACTAACGTATTTGTGTAACTTCATATATTTAAACTATAAACATGAAGATTTACTTAAAACGGCCATTGCACGCTCGATAAAGATATAATCTGCATTACGAAATAAAATATTAAAGATATCCATTTAAAGATTATCTTTATGAATAAATTCAAACAAGTAAAAAATTGTCTACTGCTAATGGTGATAAATTAATGTTACACGAAAGAGATTCCGAGAGTTGTGCAGGATGCATATGAAAATGAAACGTCAACAGAAATGCAAACGTTTTTAAATTCAATATTTTGTCTATACTTTTATATACGGATAAGATGGAAATGATCTAAGTTAAAGATTTAATCGAAAATCTCTTAGATGCCTCCAAGGGGGTGGATCAGGGGGTGGAGGCAAAGGGACTGGTTACGGGCGGCAATGGCCTCTCTTCCTACCACCTTCGTTACCATCCTCATCCTCGCCACCCCTTCGTACTTCCGTATAACGTTCACCCTTTACACTTACGATCTTATTGTCAAGATACCGTACCAACTTCTTAGGCTCCGTTTTCGGCGCGACTGGACGGTGTTCGCGACAATCGTCGTCCCTATCAACATAACTGTATCGTGCGATGATACGAGACTTCAACTCCTCATCGTTCAATCTTGCTTTGTTTCGACCGTTGGGCTGAAACAAATTAATGCCATTTAAATCATATCGCTTTTATGTAATCAAGCAACGTCGCTATAAAATCTCACCGTTAAAAACGTGAGATTGCTCACGATGCTTTGACCCGCTTCCTGACGATGTAATGCAAGTTGTGCGGCTTTCGCTATATCGCCTCCAGCCACTGCTAAACAATGCCTCGCTTCAGCAGTACTTGCCGCCGGAAACATCTCTTGCAACAGAGCCACCTGATGCCAAGAAGATTCCTAAAAAAAGTTACAATAGATGCTCGAAAATACATCTCGTACATGTCCACGTCCAGTGTTTCTCTTACTTCTGAAAAGTATTCTCCACTGGAATCGCTTCCAGCATCACTCGTTTCCGAGAGATGATGGACTCGCATTCTTTGTGTACCGGCCGGCAGTAAAGCAGCCAGACTAATGTGATTCAGCGGATCACTGTGAGACTGGCAATTCTCATTCTCCTTACTCTCCTGCTTCAACTTACTCTCTACATCGAGCAACCATTTCGACACAGCCTCTTTCTCGATAGTAGAAAATTCAGGAAGGCAGGCAGATACCATTTCGCATAGTCCGTCCACATCTAAATTCTCTTCCAATGCACTTTCTTCTACCATACTCACTACATAACTGAGCACAATGTCGTCTATTAAACTAAAACAAGAGGATATCTATTAATATCCTCATCATAGTCAAAAATTTATTGGACAAGAATCAAAATCATGTAGACATTTACAAAGCAGTGATAATCTGGTTTAATAAAAACAATAATTATTATTACATAGAATGTCATATAAATGATAATTCACATTGATTATAACATCGGTAGTTATTAATAGTTTACATCAATTAGCAAAAAGATACAGAACTGATTTTAAGAGGATATGTAAACGTTTGAAACCTTGTTACATTTGTATTACCAACTTGAAATGAGACAACTAATACCACCAGTTTATAACAAAGAATTATAGTAGATGTAGTTTATGATAAGATAGTGTTTATGATAAGATAAATTAAAACTTCCATCACTTCTTGTAAATAAAAATACATTTTAAGAAATTATTATAAATGTAATTATGGCTGCTTTCCTTTTACGAGACACAGTGATTCATTGAATGTTAAAGACTAGAGCTGCGTTATGTTTCATGTATGATACATCATTTATCCTTGTGCAATGAATAACAAGGATAAGTGATACATCATGTCATGCATGAAATGAAATACAGCCTTGAATGATATTTTGTATCAACTGTCTGCTAAAAGAAAAACAGTCTATGATTATTAAACCAGATCAATGAAAATAGTTATAGAGACAAAAAAGAAAGAGTCTGTACCTCAATTGAGCGGTGGGTACCTGCTTCCTAACGAAACTAAATAAGGCCTTCTTCACCAGTTCCTCCTTCTCATCCATCGTCCGACTCATCCTACAATCGTCAAATTACCGTTAATACGTATCCTTCGGTAAGGCTAAAAATATTCGATGAAATATCAACGATGTTCGGATCCGTACGACATGAAAGCAAACCTGACCAAACACCCTCGCGGGTTCCCGACCTTCGCGAGCGAGGCCGTTTTCAAAGGCTCGATCGCGGTCTCTCGCGGAGTCGCGGTTGATCGCGGTCCGACTCTGACTGGCGATGCGACGAAAAATGTTCCTCGCGCGTACGTGCAACAACGTTCATTGATCCTTTAATATAGGTTAAGGGAGACGAGAGGGCAGCAGGTCTCTAATTCGTCAACGGTCAGCCCTCAAGCGCCCTTACGCGCGAGATGCTCCGACGACGGTCCCTCGAGAAACGAGACAGAAGCGATTGATTGTGATTAATCACGCGGAATATTTGCATTGCATATAAGATGGGGTGAATAAGTCGGTAGGTAAATATATAAAAAGGATAGATGAACGGAAAGCATTAATAGGGAAAGCGATAATCGCGATTGTTTGGCGATGACAGAACGGTGGATCACTGATGGCACAAACCGCGCCGGTCGTCGCTCGCTTGCAAGACGAAAAACTTGATAGAAAACGCGCCGGTACGAACCTGACTCTGAAACCAGGCTACTTCAATCGGGACACTCGAGTTTGCCTGCAACGCCAAACAGAGAAGATAAATTTCGTATACAAACAACGCTAGTCGATTTGACAGTTTGACGAGGGGAGGGGTGGACGCGTAGAGTGGCGTAGAGATCCTCAAGATAGAAATCAGACAACGCTGACTACTCCGTGATTGGCTCTGCCATGTTGTTATGAAAGCGGATATTGAGAGAGAGAGAGAGAAAAGATAGAGAACGTTGGTCTACGCATGTGCAGTAAGTCTGTAAAGTTACAATATCCATTTTTAAAGCTGAAAATTCTTCCACAACTCACGCAGATTGTGTTTTTGTTATATACATATATATGTACATATTTAAAGATATCTTAAAGTACGAATTATGCTTTCTTTCCAATCAGAGCTGTAAGTTTTTGAAAATCCTTGACTGTGATTGGCTAATTCTTATGGTTCCTGTACACAGAACCCGACAAAGTTTGCCGCGCGGCGGAAGTTGTCTGCACTAATCAATAATTCTATGGCCGGTATTCATAGTCAAATCTTTATATTCGAGACCGTTCTTAAGTACAGTCTTAAGAAGTCACGAACCAATCAGAAGGCTGTATCTTAGCGTTTTAAGACATTACTTAAGACATTACTTAAGACGGTTTTGAAATAAGAATCAACTATGAATACTGACCTATGTTTTTAAATTGGCCTCACCTTGCAAAACTTCTAGAAATAATGTAATATTACTTCTGTAGCGCGGCAAAATAATCGTGGGGCCAACTTAAGCTAGTCACATTTTCCGTAACAGTGCCTAGTTCCACCGAGGGTTTAATCCGGATCAGAATATAAGAACCAACCAATTACAGTCAAGCATTCCTCTGTCGTTCGACTGTAACAAGAGAATACTCGACTGTAGTTGGTTGGTTCTTATATTCTGGTCCGGTTTAAATCCTCGATGGAAATTAAGCCAATAACAGTAAAGGACTCCGCACAATAAAAGCAACAGGAAACGGAGAACAAAGAATAAGAATTTTAACTTATCAGAAACTGTATATTCTACAATATATAGACCTGTTCTTTTTGGCTGAACTGTTGTGCAAAAATTCAGCCAAAAAGAACAAGAGCCTCATGATAGGTTGAAATTCTCTATTCCTTTTATTGTGCAGAATCCCTAAGGTTTTCGACCAATCTCGATTGTTGTGGCCGCAGCACAGACTTTTGCATAAGGGAATAAACCAATCAGAATCGTTCCTTTCTTCCCATTCCATGGAAAAGAAGAATTTCGATTGGTCGATTCCCTTATGCATTATGCGTTATGCAAGTGTCTGTGCTGCAGCCATTAGGGCTATTCCACACGAACTTGCATAGCCGCATAACATATGCATAAAGAAAATCATCCAATCGTATTTTACATTTTTCTTTATGACAGAAATGTGATTGGATAATTTTCTTTGTGCATATGGGGCGTTTTTTCGTTATCCAACCAGAAACTACCACAACTAAGGCCAGAATCAGAGTAGGTATTGAAGAATGAGATTGAAGATTAAAAGATTGAAGTTTGATCAATCAGAACAAAAGGAGCCAAAATTTCTTTGTTCTCATTGATGAAATTTCAATCTTTAATCTTTAATCTCAATCTTCAATGCATAGTCTGATTCCGGCCTAAAGCTATCTTTGTCTTTAGGAATCAGAAGACGAAGGTAGTCTTAGCCGTGGTTGCTTTTGATTATACAACGAATAAACGTCAATGGCAAGTTTGTGTGGAATGGCCTTTAAACGGGGAACATAGCTCTTGCATAATGCATAACACTTAAAGCATAAGAAATTCAATCAATCAGTTCTTTATTTCATGAAAAGGAAGGAAACGAAAGGAGGACTTTAATTGTTTATTAAAGGATTATTTTCGGACGACCGAATCGAACAACGCGTTAGCCGAAAACCTACGTTACGTTTACGATTACTGTGAGGTTGTTTTTTTATACTGACGCTTGACGCTCATTTTCAGCATCAAAACAGGTCACGTGATCAAAATTGACGCTTGGCGTTCGTGAATTTTGATCACGTGACTTATTTTGCCACTAAAAATGAGCGTCAAGCGTCGGCTTAAAAAGATACCTTAAGGGCCTTAAGGTTTAAATACCTATTGTAGATCCGAGCTCATGAAAAGTAAGCGGTTCCTAACGATTTATATATTTCAATAATATAACTTAATATAACTTAACTCAATAGTAGTGAATTCTAATTTTAATCCCGCTTCGCGGGAAAGAGCGACATTTTTTTCTACCAATCTTTTCATTTCCTGTAAAAACGCGTCGAATAAACCTAGTCATTCAAATTGAAGCGGAAAAGAACATTCTAAAAAATTATCAGTTGTCAATTTTAACGATTAATATCTCGATTTTCAAGACAGAACGACGTTTTTTTTTGTAAAATCTTTATTTTTACGTGAAAACAATTAAGTATATTTTTATTAAAATTTGTGGTGACCGAAATATTCTTAACATTTTACCCTAAAAACTTATGTTCAAAGAAAAGTATGTCTATAGGAATTTTAATTTGGGAATTTTTGATCTTTCAGATTTTCTTTCAATTAGCGTTTTATTTTTTTAAGTTGAATATCAAAGATGACATTTACATCTATCAACGCATCAACGCGAACAGAAAAAGCTTACATTTTAATTTACACTCGTATAAAGACTCGCATTTTTCTCGCGTAAAATCCTACATCTCTTTATCAAGACACTCTCTATACGTATAATAAAAATTTTAATATATTCAAAACTGCATGTTGCAATAGCCGTTTATTTGTGAGACGTATCATCATTCATTACAATTTACATCTATAATTCAGTCGCGTACAATGCGAGTATCGTCAATGACAATTTATTCGGCATATATCCAATATATAAATAATTACAATTCGCAACGAATCGATACATAATACATTATTATTTTCATTAGACAAGATAAGTTATACAACACAAGTCTAGAGTTTAAAAATTCAAATTTTTCACAACATAAAATCCACGTCCGCTGACAAGACAATCAAATTCGTTATAAGCGGACACTATATTACTCTTTTAAAAATAAATGCGCAATCTATAGCAGACGCTTGTATCATTTGTATATATACGAAGTTAATACATGTAGATATTTAAATAAATATACACATTGCGAGAAAAAATACGCGTTCGACTAGCGGAAATATCTAATGTATTGTACCTTCTTTGAAATTCTCCAAACTCTACATAATAAGATTTAATCTTCGATTAGAGATCTCATGATTACAACAGCGAAATTAAAGATAAATTTTCTAAAGTATTCTTAATAGATTCCAAAAATAACAATCTGTTTTATTTTGGTTCTTGATTCTTATATAATGACTCTGATTCAGTTTGTCGTTATAATGCATTTTTTCGCTTGAGTTTTAAAAAAACAAATTGCAGATATTCTTACACTAGTTTTCATTGAAATTTGTAGTATAATCCAATTATTACATAGATTTTAAGATATCTCTATATCTTATTTTACTATGTCACTTTCTTTTCTCTCAAGGGCTGTTTCTCATTATGCTCGATTTCGTTGTCCTCGCCAACGTCAGCGGAAGCATAATCAAGAGACTCTTTTTTATTATTATCTTTATTACAACTTAATTCTGGTTCTTCGACAATGTCTTGCTGTTGCTCTAGAAAATCTGTAGGTACAAACTCCATTTGATCTTCATTATCGTTTAAATCTGGCGGAGCTGGCAGTTCACAAAAATGTAGTCTCTCGTCTCCGTCGTTAATTTCCTCGCCACCTGGATCGTCTTCCTCGTGTAAACTCATAAGTTTTTCAAAGTCTGAGGAAGCTGTGACTTCGTTATTCTCTGAGAATATCTCCGTCGGGCTAAGAGGTATATCTAAAGGCTCCAGTTTTACAGTCGCGCATGGAGACGTTGGCGTGATGGGTCGCTGCAGACGTATTTTGGTAAAAGGTCTTGACTCTACAGATTCGGACTGTTGTCGCTTTTGCGCGCGCTTAGGACTAGAAGACATAGACACCCTTGAAGGTGATGTTTTATTCTCTTTGGATTCGGTGGTACCTCTAGGAACTACATGTTGAGACGACAATGGCTTCGTTTGAGGTATAAGTAACGGTGATTTTGTGTTCTGTCGATATAAAAGAATATAAATAAATTAAAAATTTCCATAAACATTGACTAATGTAATTATAATAAATCTGATGTCTGACTTACTTGAGATGAGGGACTCGGACCGGCTAATCCTTTCACCTGTAACGCTTCGGCGGCATTCAATAGTTGCGGTAATTTATCGTGAGCGACGTTGACTTCCCCACGGTACATGAATTTAACTAATGCCTCCACCTCCCAAAATTTCAAATCCTTCATTAGAATAATAGGATGTTGACACGGATTCTCCCGTAATAAGTCTGCCAAGTAGTCGCTGCAGGAAGATAAAATCATTTTATGACATTTCAGAGACCGCCCTTCACATGCCAGGGTCACATCGACGAACTGTTCTGTGTCCAGTAACGACGGGAAGCTATTCTGCATATTACTATGGTAACTGTTCCACCTTAGACAAACCTGAAACAGAAGAAAAAGACGAATTTAGTAGAAATCTCTGTATCGAATTATACTTTCATCTTATAACAGATATAACATTCGCAATGAATCTATGTATGTTATATACTTCTGTAGGTTGCTGATGCACGACATTGTGGGATCCTTGATTAGTTTGTCGCGATGGCATTTTGATAGTTGTAGGTGCAACTTGTTTCACTTTCAACGGAATAGTTTTTAATACGAGAGTCTTTGGTTGCCGTTGTTGCTGCTGCTGCTGTGACTGCTGTTGCTGAGGTAGCGGCGCTGGTGCGATGTTACGAATGTGAGGTCTCACTAAGGATTGCGTTGCGATCCTTATTGCTTTCGTACTTGTACTGCCTTGGGACGTTGACTGTAAAACTAAGACAAAAAAATTAATTTGTCATATGTGATATATGTAAGTCGAAAGAATGTCAAGAGCAATTTAAATAACGATGGTAATTAATTTAGATTTAAATTCTGATAATGTTGAATTTTGTAATTCTAATTATCTACTTGAATCATGTAGTTAGAAGAATCGTTTAATCAAAATCATTTCATTAAAAGTTGAAAAATTTAACAATGAATTTAATTAAAATTTCATTTCCATTAGAATTAGAAGTTGTACGATGCAAAGTTTAAAACTAATGCCCATTTCTACTAACGTAACTTTAATCAGTTTACATTTCTAAGTTCGAAAAACCAATTCGCGCGCGCAATTCAAGAAATACAAAATATGATATACAAATTTTTTTACACGAATTATTTAGAGCACTTAAGATCCAACTTCGATTGTCATTCGTTTCTTGCCTGTATTCATATTATAAGTAGTGGTTCTAATAAATCGTTTATTATAAATAAAATATTAAATATTAATTGAGAGAGAGAGAGAGAGAAAGAGATAAATTTATTAAGAAATAAAAATGAGAAAATAAATATTTTATAGTTGCATTTATTGCATGTAATAATCTTTTATTATACAATGTTAAATTGTAAATTCATATTTGACTAGTTGAAAAAAAATGTATCACAAGCATTAAAAAAAATTTTAATATTTCGCTCATTTGTTACAACAATACAACTTGGATGACTAGCCTAATTACGCCGTAAATATATTTAAATAGAGGATATGTTATACATTATTATACATTAATAATCATACAAAATAAAATATGAATATACGTGTACCTGTATATTTCAAATAACACATGTATAATCTTGTATTGAAATACACAGATATGCGTTTCAATCACAGATATGTTTTTCGATACACGTGTACTCGTATCAAAAATTATACGGATTAAAACATGGATATAAATATTAATTACATGTGTAACACGTGTATTTAAATAAACGTGAAATAGATCACTACTAGTTACAATATGTATTCGATTAAAGGAAACTAATTTCAAGCGAGAAGACATCAATGACATTATTTGTTGTGTACGAAAAATGCTATTTTAATTCATATTTTTCAAGATTACAGTTTTATCAATTACGTTGTAAAAGTCTTCTTCGGTCGGTATTCATAGTCGAGTAATGTCTTAAGACGCTAATGCAGCCTTCTGATTGGTTCGTGATTTCTTAAGACCGACTATTTAAGACAGTCTTGAATACAAGATCTGACTATGAATACCGACCTTCGTCTTTTTACATTAGGTCTCTGGCCTGTGTGTTACACCTCAGTGAAAAATCTAAACTTAAACTTGAAGAAATTTAGTTAGAAAGTACCCTAATGATACGGTATTTTATATTTACCATGATAACGTCTGCCGATCAGTCTGCCTCCGTGATGTACCCTGAGATGCCGGTGCAAATTTGTCGTGCCACACTGGCGCGGATTTGCGCCGCCTCTAACGACGACCGCCCCGCAGATGCGGCACTGGGCGCGCAATGGATCGTTAGTGCATAGATCGAAGTGTGCCCAGACCGCACTGGGATTCGCCATGGCACGTAAGCTACGCGCGTGGGAGCGCACGCGGTGCGTGACGCTTCCGTGCCGGCCAGACGATGATGACGAGGACGACGTCGGCGGCAATGTCGTCGGCGGCGGTGGCGGTGTCGTTGACGCAGCCGGCATGCTTGATTCGTCGAGATAACAGTCTTCCTCGTCTTCCGGTTCCTGCTTCATCGCTGGGCTCCCCCTGATATTCGCCGTGGAGGTCGTCGTCGTCGTCGTCGCGACGTTACGCTCTTTGATACCGCTGCGCCGCAGGTTGACAATGTTCGGTGGACAGACTCGACGCAACCCTCGCCTCTCTGAAACTTCCCCGAACGAACGATCTGATGAATTTGCGAGTCACCATCTCTTACCTGTGTCGCCGACATTTCTTTCTTTTTTTTTTTTAATGACGATTAATAATCGTCGCAGACACGTTTTATGACATCGAAGATTATCGTATTTTATCGGGTTCAGTCGTTACGTAGGTACGGCTCTACGCTGGGTAGATTCCTTATCGTTTAAATGTCGATATAATCGCCGCCGCTTTTTATAGGAACGCACGACTCACAGTAGCGCGGCATTAAAATAGGCGTCACACGCGCGCTAGGCTCGATGGGCAACGTCTTCATTCTGGGATAACGTCTTCATTCTAGATAAACAACAAGCTTAATCTTTATAAAAGAGGGGTGGAAGATCCGTCCGCGTAAATTTCTTAATTCCTGCCCTACTAACGATCATCACAGCTGATAAATGAAAATAAAGTGATAATAATGATTAGATTGCTCAACAAAATAGTAAGTGAGTCATGATCAATATTTAAGAGGTTTTAGCCGTCGCGTCGGTCGGACACCTTGGGTAATGCAACTTTTAAGCATTCTAACTTGAAAAGTACTTAATGAAAGAATATTTTATTATAGTGTTTTGAAAAGCTCTCGAGGTAAGCTACGAATGTGTAATTAATTATGAGAATATGCGATAAAAAATGGAGGATTCCGTTTAAAAACTATTCAAAGTGATCTTGACAATGTCATCCAAAGTCAAACCGATGTGTGATTGATACCATCTTATATTCCCCTCGAAGTCACATAACTTTTGTCTGAAACCTTTTTCAATTCTGTATCACCTTCTCGAAATCATCTGGGATATTCTAGGATATCAAAAATGAAACACCTCTATGTATATAGAGCCGTAAAAATCGGAACGAGAGATTCTTGAGATCATTTTGAGACGAAAATCTTAATATCAAAATGTTGAGAGAAAATACTTTTTTTTACATAATAAATATCAATAATTAGAAATATCAATAACTGTATTTTCGCATACATAATCTTTATATTGATATTTACAAGAGGTAATAATTAGCTTTCACTTTTGCGTCGTGCCATATTCGAACGCGCAACGGTAGTTTTAGGCGGTAATAATTTGCTAACCTTAAATGATTATAATTAAAAAATTATTGTAACCTCGACATTTTGGGATTATAATTTTCATCTCAAAATAATTTTAAGAATTTCTTCTTAAATATTGTTTCGATCTTTACAGGACACCCTGTATATATATTGATAAATAGCTAATCAAAAACTTCTTTAGACAAAACCATAAAAATTGACAGATATTTGGTCTGTTTTCTGTTTCTGCACTAAACTGTTTTACTGCACTAAACTCTTTTTTTTACTTTCGACAAATATCAACCGTATATCTATCTCACTTTAAGTTCTAAAAGTGTACACTAGTTCAGCCACAGAAAACAAATCTTGTTGTAGCATGAAAGTTCCTATTTTGAGTTTAATCGTATTAAAAAATATCTATTTATTCGCTTTTTAATAACTGTACTTTAATACCTTTATGCAAAGATTAATGAAATAAGTCAGTTAATGTAAAGAAAATAGTTTAAAAATAAGATGTAATTTGCAAGTATGTATATTGCAAATTGCATATTTTTTTGAGAAGTAGTAAAGTAATATAATCTTTTGTTTACATCAATAGATTCAACTCATTAGTCTATGCATTAAAATACAGTTGTAAAAAAATCAATAGTAGATAAAGATATTTTTTAATTTAATTAGAAACTCAAAATAGTAATTTTCAAATAATGCTACAGCAAAATCTATCCTTTTTTAAATAATTTTGTCTGAGGAAACATTTGATCAATACCTCATAATTTACAAAATATCACAGTTTCATCCAATTTAACTATTTTTCAAATAATTAATATGGGGTGTTTTTAATAATTTTAAACTTAATTAAATCCATAATTTAAATTTTAACGCTTTTACAATAAATTAAATTTTATGATTTTTACATTTCTATATCCATACAGCACAGAAATTTGCAGCAATATTGCTACAATGTTGCAACATTGCACGTTGCAATGTAATGTTTCAGAAATATTGTTTAAATATAGATATACAACATGATTTTAAGTTGCACTAATATTTTTAAAATGATGAAAATAAATAAATAAACTACTTTGAGCTTAAATACTTGTGTATGCATGTATAGCTTATGATTCATCAAGCTTTATCTAATATCAATCAATTTTACATATAATATTATTTACATTTGATTAAATAATTATGTATATAAAAAATCTTTTATCATGAATTACAAAGTATTCCGGTAAAAAAAATTTCACAGTACATAATCTCATATAACATTATATTCAATTTTACATTGTATGTAAATATATAGTTATGCACACTCTAATTACTCTAATCAACGTAATTATATAATTTTAAATAATGTCCCACTTTTATATAGAATTAAAAAATACATAAATTCCTTTTGTATTTATATATAAATAATATATATATATATATATATAAAATCATATGAGGCACACATTTGTATATTCCAGCTTACTATTCTGCATATGAAAATTAATAACAATAATTCGAAATCTTTTCTTCTTTAATTTTTCTAAACCTTCTTTCATTTATGAAATAAATATATTTTAACTTATACATCTTTTTAACAATATCTATTGACCAGATATTTTATAATTATACATCTATTAACATACGGCGTTTTCGGTTCGATCGAATTTGTATTAACTTGTGTTGGATTAATGTTTGTTATTGATTGACGTCACATATTCTAACAAAAGGAGAGCACGAAACATCATTAATTCAACCCAGATTGGTGCAAATCCGCTCGGGCCGAAAACGCCAAAACAGAGATCGTAGATCATCGAAGCAGCAATTATGATTGAGATGAAGCGAGCTAAGAAACAACTTTAGGATAAGTGACAGCTTGACGATGGGGAACATGAAATTAATTCTCGAATTTAAGAGGAAACGTTATTTTTATTATAATTTTTGTTCATGTGTATTTCAAAATATAACGCTAATACTTATTTAAAAAAAAAATTGAATTAATTAATTTTATAGCTTCCTCTCTAAATATATGTTAAATTGTAATGTTGCTGTAATATTACATTGCAATGTTTCCGCAACGTTGCAATCTTACAGAGATTTCTGCAACATTCCTACAATATTTCGGTGCTGTATGGGTAACAACTTTTTACATACTATAATAGCCTTCATATCGCTTGAGCGGAGCAAGGCAAACTACGAATTCGTTACGAAAGAAACTCGCAACATAATCGTTCTCCACTCCACACGCGTTCCCGCGCCATCTTTCCTATTTTCTTGTTTTTTTTTTTCTCCCGACACGAGCAGCCGTGCTATATCGAAAGCCCGCGTGTGCGCGTCATGCACGCTGCCGTCGCTGCCGCGTTTTGACGGTTACGTCGGTTACGTTCGGGTGCGAGTATATGAGAGAGCGTCGATGCATTTCTTTTCTCTTTCTCCGACACGTTGAGGAGCGTCATCTCACAACTCCACAATTCCACGGTCTCCACGTTATCGTCCCGTCCTCGTCCTCCACCTATTCGCATCGGTTCCCTCTCTCCGCGCGCGCGCTTTATACACCCACTCTTTGTCCCGCGTCGTTCGCGTCGTTCGTACTTGGTCGTTCGCGAGGATCGGCGCCCGGCCGGTTATAAAACACGGCGACTGTGACAAGTGCACGCGACACAGCATGCTACGAAAGCGCGATTGCCCAGTGCCCTACACCGGCCACTCGTATCTAACCTCATGTGACCGGCCGCGTTACAGATCTTCGAAATCGCAATTAACGATCTTTGATATCGTATCAAACATCGTACAATGTACTCTCGATCGATTCGCGGAAGCGCATCGTTATCTCACCTCTCCGAGTGTTCCTCCGGTTTTACTCGTCGCGATAATGCCACGGCGTGTTGCTCGCCGAACGATCGGACTGGACGGTCGTTTCCCGCGGCTTTGCCGACGGACGTCGACGACGACGACGACGAGGATGACGATAGACAATATCGTCGAATCCGTGGAGAGATCGACGGTCGCGCGTATCCGTCTCGCGCTCGCGCCTACTCTCTCTCTCTCTCTCTTTCTCTCTTTGTCTCTTTTGCTCTCCCTCTTCTTACTCGTTCAGCGTTCTCGTACGATACTTTATCCGCTTTATCCTCGTGAAATGGTGCAGGCGAAGATTGTCGGCCACGCGCCACCCTTCGACGGCACCTATATCCTGATATATCGCGCGCCGATCAAGCTCAAGACTCGCAAGAGATCGTTAACGTTAGTTTTTCGTAATTGCGACACGAATTGGGTGGTGGCCCCGTGGCTGACCGCGCGCGCGCTATGCCGCAGAGCGGGACGATTTTCTCCGAAGCCGAACCCGGGAGTGACTAAAATCGAAATCGGTGAACGAACAGGGGCGCGTCAGGACGCGCATGTGCGACGGCGTCGCCGGTCGTCGACGCATATTGTTCGTGCCGCTGCCGCCTGCCGCGTCTCTTCGGGTCTCTCCAGTCTCCGCTCCGCTCCGCTCGCTAGCGTGTGCCAGCGTGTGCGCGCGCGTGCGTCATGCGTGCGCCCAGCAGTCTCCCTGTCTCCTTCTCTCTCCCTTCCACTCTCGATCTGCCGTCTCCTCCCTCCCCCCTCTTCTCTCTCTCTCTCTCTCGCTCACTCGCTCTTTTTCTCCTCGCCGTCTGCTTGAAATTACTAACCGACCTGACGATGTTCGATCCGAAAGTCCCGAAACGCCTCCGTCGACACGCGCGAATTCCGTTTCCGATCGATCAAGCGTCGGCATTGTCGACCGACTCTATCGGCTCGCAGGCTCGCTGTTTTCAGTTTCCGCTTCCTCTCACTGGTTTGCCGCGATTGAGTTGGAGCGTTGAAACCGTAGAACGAACGTAACTCTTCATGTGATCAGAAAATATTATCACAAAATATAAAGGAGATAGAACACGATTCGATTTGTGTTCGATTTTTACTTGTATACGCGTGACAAAAAATATGTTAGTGTGCGTGCGTAGAATGAGCCGACGCTCGTCGCTCAACGGCGCTTCATAATACAGTAAGCAGAAACGTGACGGGAGCATTGTATTTTTGGAGCTGAACATAATTCATGAATGCGCGCGGATTCATCGCGGGAAGCGGACGAATGAGCTCGCGTCCGATACATTCGTAACATTTTACTTCATCTCGATCAATTTGAAGGACCACAGATAATGCAATGTGAATAAGTATCGCCGAGGGAGACGAAGACGAATTATAAAATTTACAAAAATTATCATTATGCGCAAAATGCCATCTGATAACAGATAATATTAGGTGTTGGAATTAATTCGTAGCGTTTTTAATGAAAGAATGTTATTTATTTCACATGAGCATTAAAAAATACATTAATGAAAGTACTTCCCATCACTTGTAAAACGCTACGAATTAATTCCAACACCTAATATGTTGGGATTTAAAGGGATTCCTAGTGAGCATTATTGAAAGGACGAATTCTTTAGATGATTTTTTAAGGACCTCATTAAAATCGCTTTAAAATGACAACAAATTCGTTCCTTAAGACATGTTTTAAGAGTCGAGAGGAGAGATTATGGAGACCTCTAGTCGGAGGTTCTTCATGCGCATTAAAATTGTGGCTAAAATTGCGTGCTAAATTGATTCAATTTCGCTTGTTCCTGATATCCTAATAAAAAAAAATTTGATATGGTATACAAAAAAGAAATGGTGTATGTTCTTAAGTACTGTAATTGATTTCATTGAAGCTCAAAAAAAAATGTTTTGTTCCGTGTGATC